AATAAATGGTGCTGGGAAAATTGGCTAGCCATGAGTAGAAAGCTGAAACTGGATCCCTTCCTTACTCCTTATATGAAAATTAATTCAAGATGGATTAGAGACTTAAATATTAGACCTAATACCATTAAAACCCTAGAAGAAAACCTAGGTAATACCATTCAGGACATAGGCATGGGCAAGGACTTCATGTCTAAAACACCAAAAGCAATGGCAACAAAAGCCAAAATTGACAAATGGGATCTAATTAAACCAAAGAGCTTCTGCACAGCAAAAGAAACTACCATCAGAGTGAACAGGCAACCTACAGAATGGGAGAAAATTTTTACAATCTACTCATCTGACAAAGGGCTAATATCCAGAACCTACAAAGAACTCAAACAAATTTATAAGAAAAAAACAATCTCATCAAAAAGTGGGCAAAGGATATGAACAGACATTTCTCAAAAGAAGACATTCATACAGCCAACAGACACATGAAAAAGTGCTCATCACTGGCCATCGGAGAAATGCAAATAAAAACCACAATGAGATACCATCTCACACCAGTTAGAATGGCAATCATTAAAAAGTCAGGAAACAACAGGTGGTGGAGAGGATGTGGAGAAATAGGAACACTTTTACACTGTTGGTGGGATTGTAAACTAGTTCAACCATTGTGGAAAACAGTATGGCGATTCCTCAAGGATCTAGAACTAGAAATACCATATGACCCAGCCATCCCCTTACTGGGTATATACCCAGAGGATTATAAATCATGCTGCTATAAAGACACATGCACACGTATGTTTATTGTGGCACTATTCACAATAGCAAAGACTTGGAATCAACCCAAAAATCCATCAGTGACAGACTAGATTAAGAAAATGTGGCACATATACACCATGGAATACTATGCAGCCATAAAAAAGGATGAGTTTGTGTCCTTTGTAGGGACGTGGATGTAGCTGGAAACCATCATTCTCAGCAAACTATTGCAAGAACAGAAAACCAAACACTGCATGTTCTCACTCATAGGTGGGAATTGAACAATGAGATCACTTGGACACGGGAAGGGGAACATCACACACTGGGGCCTATTGTGGGGAGGGGGGAGGGGGAAGGGGGGAGGGATGGCATTGGGAGTTATACCTGATGTAAATGATGAGTTGATGGGTGCAGCACACCAACATGGCACATGTATACATATGTAACAAACCGGCACGTTGGGCACATGTACCCTAGAATATGTATAATAAAAAAAATTTTTTTTTAATGAGAAATGATAAATGTTGACATTTGTGTTATTCCTAATGTTGGGGAAAATCAGCTTATCAAATATTTGATCACATATATGTCAAATGTGCTGTTAGCTGTTTTTCATAGATGTGCAGCAATAGGTGGAGAAAATCACTGTCTTGTTCTAGTTTGCAGAGTTTATCATAACCTAGTTTGGAATTTTGTAAAATGTTTTTATTATATTTTTGAGATTTTTATTTTAGTCTGTTAACATAGATTACACTAAGAGAGTTTAAATTGTTGGATCAAACTTGTATTCTTGATAAACCTCACCAGGTTATGATTTATTATTGTTTGTATATGGAAGGATTCAATTTGCTAAATGTCTTTTTGTTTTGTTTTAGCATGAGTGCAAGTTTATTTAAAAAGGCTTTACAACAAGAAAGAAAGGGAAGTATGCTTGGAAGAGACCCCAGTGAGGCGATTTGAAGGACGAGTGCCTCAATTTGCTAAAATTTTGTTAAGGCTCTGTCTATATTCATGTGGTGATTAGTCTAGTTTTGTTTAATGTCATTGCCTCTTTGGTGTCCTGTTAATGCTAACTTTCATATAGTTCAGAAGTGTTTGAACCTTTCTGTTTTTGGAAGAGTCTGTATATAATTGGTACGATTTCTTCCTTTAATATTTCATAAAAGTTCTTACATGTTTTAGGAATGACCCTCAGTTGATGCCATCAAGAAAAAGGAACCTCAGTCCTACAATCACAAAGAACTTAAATATGCTAACAACTCAAAATAAGCAAGAAACAGATTCTCCATTGAGACTCTAGAAAGGAACACAATCATGACAACACTTTGATTTTAACCAGTGATGTCTCCATTTTTTTTTTTTTTTTTTTTTTTGAGACGGAGTCTCACTCTCTCGCCCAGGCTGGAGTGCAGTGGCCGGATCTTGGCTCACTGCACAGCTCCGCCTCCAGGTTCCACGCCATTCTCCTGCCTCAGCCTCCCGAGTAGCTGGGACTACAGGTGCCCGCCACCACGCCTGGCTCATTTTTTGTGTTTTTTAGTAGAGACGGGGGTTCACCGTGTTAGCCAGGATGGTCTAGATCTCCTGACCTCGTGATCCTTCATCTAAAACTGAAAGTGTGGGATTACAGGCTTGAGCCACCGCCTTGACCGATGTCTCTATTATACTTATGACTAAGAACTGTAAAGATAGCTATATTTGTATTGTTTAAAAACGTAGAAGTTTGTGGTGATTTGTCAGGATAGCAATAGAAAGCTAATACATCAACATTACTCTGTGAGCATCTCTTGCCAATGCAGTATTTCCTCGACTCATGTTGTACCTTTTCTGCCACAATCAGAAAACAGCCTCTTTGCCCAAGGAGTTCTGGTTCCTTTTATTAAAAAATTATACAAACCAATAACTGGGCATTAAATATGCTCAAAGCTACTGGAATGCCACTGCTAGGATATCTACAAAGATAGGAGTACGTACACATTATCTATATAAATTGAATTCTTTATCTACATAAATTGAATTCTTTTTTTGTAGATTAAGCATTACAAATATTTCCAGAAGTTAGTTATTTAAAAGATTCTTAAGACTACAGTAGCATACTCACATAAGGGTTTTTGTTATAGGCAAGATATGGTATAGTATGAGAATATAACACCAAATGCATATTGAATAAAATAACAAATGGATAAACTGGGCTTCATAAAATTAAGACACTCTGCTTTAGGAAGATACTGTTACAAACTGAACAAGGTCAAGCATGGTGAAACGTATTGCCTGTACCTGCTGGGAGTCTGAGGCAGGACCACTTGAGGCTAGGAGCCCAGAACTGGTCTATGTAACAGCAAGACCACGCCTCTAAATTTTAAAAAAGAAAACAAAAGCCACAGACAATGAAAAAATATTCCCAACGCTTATATCAAATAAGGAATTTGTCTTCAGAAATGTTAAGAACTTGCAACCAACCAAATATTTTAAAAACAATTAAAAATACCAACAGACATTTTACTAACGAAGATATATGAGTGACAAATAAGCACATTTAAAAAAGCTGAAAACTAAGTCATTGGAAAAACACAAATTAAGAACTACAATGAAGGCGAGGCGCGGTGGCTCTCAAGCCTGTAATCCCAGCACTTTGGGAGAGCTTGCCGAGACGGGCGGATCACGGGTCAGGAGATCGGGAGACCATCCTGGCTAACACAGTGAAACCCCGTCTCTACTAAAAATACAAAAGAAAACTAGCCGGGCGAGGTGGCGGGCGCCTGTAGTCCCGCTACTCGGGAGGCTGAGGCAGGAGAATGGAAAAGCTGCCTTAAACCGGGAGGCGGAGCTTTGCAGTGAGGCTGAGATCCGGCCACTGCACTCCAGCCGGGTGACAGGGCGCCAAGACTCCGTCTCGAACTACAATGAAATACTACTGCATATTTAGTAAATGGCTAAACTGCTGAAAACTAAGTCATTGGAAAAACACAAATTAAGAACTACAATGAAATACTACTGCATATTTAGTAAAATGGCTAAACTGAATGGCCTATGATTTCCATACATATAAATTGTCAGTAATGTGAAGAAATGGAAAACCTAATATATTCCAGGAGGAAATATGAAATGCTAACCATTTAGAACACAATTTGGCAAGTAAAATTTCAAACATTTGGATCCACTTACAGAATAACTGAGGAGCTTTGCAGCCCTGTTACACAGCCAAAAGGGTGAAAATTATAAAAACACAATTCAGTCTCTGGAAATGGTCACAAGGGTGTACGGCAAATAAATATTTATTAAAGAAGATCTAACATTCATAAGAACAGCAAAAGTCAGTCACATCTGAACCAAGACCACTCCTTTCCTCCCCCAACTCCAAACTCAGCGAGATTAAAACTCCATTCGACTGCTGCAGCCAAGAATACAGGGCTCCCTCTCTCCGGAGCTCCAAGGCAGAGGGCTATCTTCTCCAGAGAGACAATCTGTCAGGAATTCTCATCCTGCCTCCAATGTGCATATTTAGATGAATGACATTCAATTGCCAGCTCCCTCATAAAGATTATCCTCAGAGTTTCTGGGTTTTTTGTTTATTTGTTTGTTTGAGACGAAGTCTCGCTCGGTCACCCAGGCTGGAGTGCAGTGGCGTGATCTTGGCTCCATGCAATCTCTGCCTCCCAGGTTCAAGTGAATCTCCTGCCTCAGCCTCCCAAGTAGCTGGGACTACAGGTGCCTGCCACCACGCCTGGTTTTTGTTTTCTGTTTTTTTTTTTTTTTTTTTTTTTTTGAGATGGAGTCTCGCTCTGTCACCCAGTCTAGAGTGCAGTGGTGCGATCGCGGCTCACTGCAAGCTCCACCTCCCGGGTTCACGCCATTCTCCTGCCTCAGCCTCCTGAGTAGCTGGGACTATGGGCGTCTGCCACCACGCCTGGTAATTTTTTGTATTTTTAGCAGAGACAGGGTTTCATCGTGTTAACCAGGATGGTCTCGATGTTCTGACCTTGTGATCCGCCTGCTTCAGCCTCCCAAAGTGGTAAGATTAACAGGTGTGAGTCACCGTGCCCGGCAAGGTGAATCATATTGAATCAGCGACAGTCTAAGGCCTTTCTCCAGTCTACACTTTCTGGTGTTGAATAAGGTTAGGCCTTTGGCTGAGACCTTTCTCCATATTCACTACATTGTCCACTCTGTGAACTATCTGTCCAGTGTTGAATGAGTTTGGAAGTGTAGTTAATGGATTTCCATTTGTTACCTTCAAGACTTTTTTCCCCTGTGAACTTTCTGGTGTTGAATGAGGTTGAAATGCTGGCTAAAGGATTTCCCACAATCACTGTATTTCTCCAGTGTGAATCCTTCGATGTTTAACAAGACTGGAGCTGTGGCGAAAAAATTTCCCACATTCCCTGCACTCATAAGGCTTTGCTCCAGTGTGAACCCTCTGATGTTTAACCAGGCTGGAATTCTCACTAAAGAATCTCCCACATTCATTGCACTTAAAAGGCTTTTCTCCAGTGTGAACTTTTCGATGTTGCATGAGGCTTGAACTTTGGCTAAAAAACTTCCCACATTCGCTGCACTCATAAGGCCTTTCTCCAGTGTGAACACGCCAATGATTGATAAGGCTGGACTTGTGGCTATAGAATTTTCCACATTCACTGCACTTATAAGGTCTTTCTCCAGTGTGAACTCTCTGATGTTTCATGAGGCTGGAGTTGAAACTAAACAATTTTCCACATTCACTGCACTCATAAGGCCTTACTCCAGTGTGGATTCTGTGATGCTGAACAAGTGTGGAATTATGCCTGAAAGCTTTTCCACATTCACTGCATGTAAAAGGCTTTTCTCCAGTGTGAACTCTCTGATGTTGAATGAGGTCAGCATTACGGCTAAAGGATTTTCCACAGTCACTACACCCATAAGGCCTTTCTCCAGTGTGAACTATCTGGTGTATAAAAAGGTTGGACTTATGGCTAAATAACTTCCCACATTCACTGCATTCATAAGGCTTTTCCCCAGTGTGTAGTCTCTGGTGCTGAACAAGTAAATATTTCTGACCAAAGTCTTTCCCACATTCACTGCATTTGTAATACCTTTTTCCAGCATGAAAGGCCTCCTTACTTTCGGAGCTCCTATGTGACTTCTCTCCCGTGTGAGTCATCTGGTGCTTGAGAATAACTGAGCTGGTCAGGAGGTCCTTCCCAACTTCTCTGCTTTGCAAGGACTTCTCTGACAGGTGGACTCTGCAACTCCTCAAAACTGGGACCCTGCTCTCTTGTCTTTTTAAGGGTTTCTCTCCATAGTGCTTCTGGTGTTGCTGAACGTTTGAACTGGGCACTTTTACAGAAGCAGTCTGCTCAGGGGCCTCCTTGGCCTCAGCTCCATGCCAACAACCTGAAAGAAGAGAAATGTTGATGAAGTAAATGTAGTCTTTGGTGTGAGGAGGCAGCACTCTAACAAATGTGTTTGACACACCCAGTAATTAGTGCCTGGGACTGCTGGCAGAATGAGGGGGCTAGCGCTTGGTGGGGAAGGGCCTGCTGTGCAGTGCTGAACCTGGCTAGATCACGGATTTGGGGAGGCCTCATGAGCACCAAAGATGCAAGGATGGGGTGTAGCACAGGGAGGAGAGGCAGAGTCCCCAACAAAATCCACTGCAAATGGCTTTCCACAGGACTTTGGCTGCTGGAGACACAGGAACATGGCACAGAAGGTTATGTCCAGGTCCAGAAAAAATCAACTGCAAGATGGGCGCGGTGACTCATGCCTGTAATCCCAGCATTTTGGGAGGTCAAGGCAGGTGGATCACAAGGTCAGGAGATCGAGACCATTCATGCTAACATAGTGAAACCCAGCCTCTACTAAAAATACAAAAAATTAGCCAGGCGTGGTGGCAGTAGTCCCAGCAACTCAGGAGGCTGAGGCAGGAAAATGGCATGAACTTGATAGGAGGAGCTTGCAGTGAGCCAAGATCAAGCCACTGCACTCCAGCCTGGGCAACAGAGCGAGACTCCGTCTCAAAAAAAAAAAACCAACTGGAAAGAAATAGTTGGTATCCAAGTGCTATGCAGGGATAAGCTCCCACCTCACCACACATTCAGTGAAAGCCACTGCTGAAAGGTGCTGCTGAGGATTGGGTGAAACATGGAGGACAGAGAGGTGGAGAATGGCCCCGGGTTAAATATCAGAATAGATATAAATGGGTGACTGAGGAAGAAAAGACAGAAATCAGCAATGACCCCTTGCCTTGGTATCAAAATATCTGAGCCCACTGCAAAGACTCCTGGTATGATATGAACCCATCCCCGAGTTCATACCTCCCTGAGCTCCACCCACCAAGTACCTCTCAGTATGGCTGAAGTCATAACTTCCCAAGCAGGCATGAAGGGCTCCTCCCATGACTCCAGCTGGGTTATATCATGGGTCATGGAAGATGCAAGTCCTAAGGAAAACAACAAGTGAGTGGCAGCACTGAGCCAGAATGACTTATCCCATCATGGACCACAGGAAAGAAAACAAAATAGTACAGAAAGAACCTTGGAGGAGGGTCTTACAGGAACAAACCTGTCAAACAGCAATCACATTGGTAACTCAATTGCTGGCACAGGTATGTTGGCTAGAGGAGGCAAGCAGAACATAGGCGAATAGAATTACCACAGATGTGCACAGTGTTACCAGGCCACAGAGAGGCCACCAGGGTTAAGATCCATCAAGCTGACTGAAAGACTCCTGACCCCCAAACCCTTTCCTGCACAGCTCTGGGGCAGCTCGGGGAGAGAAGATGGTAGTATACGCAGCCCAGGCCGACTACAATAGCTACTTCAGGATCCTGGAGAAGGAATGAGTGCCCACAATTCAGCTTCGGGAAGAACAGACCTGTCACTAGGAAAAGGAGGAAGAGACGAGCCCAGCCCAGGATGCTGGGGTGGGGTGTGAGAAACTTACCCAGAGAGGCCAGAAGTGAAAAGTTCTCCAGCATCACATTGCGGTAGAGGAGCCTCTGAGTCTCATCAAGCAATCTCCATTCCTCCTGGGAGAAGTAGACAGCCACGTCCTCAAAGGTCACATAGCCCTGCTAAGATGGAGAGAGTTGAGTTTATCTGTGGCCTCCTTACTGGGGAATTTAGGCATTGCCCTAAACATCCACCCCTGCTCACCCTCTTCCTCAATCCCCATCGCAGAGGAGAGACCCTGCCCCAGAACCACTGATGCCCACTCTCTCCTCATGTTCCCACTGAGCAAGCACAGGCAGGTAGGCAGATATAGTCCATTTCAGCTCTGGGGAGAAGTAGACAGCCAGTCCTCAAAGGTCACATAGCCCCAAGATGGAGAGTTGAGTTTATCTGTGGCCTCCTTACTGGGGAATTTAGGCATTGCCCTAAACATCCACCCTGCTCACCCTCTTCCCTCAATCCCCATCGTGAGGAGAGACCCTGCCCCAGAACCACTGATGCCCACTCTCTCTCTACATGTTCCCACTGAGCAAGCACAGGCAGGTAGGCAGATATAGTCCATTTCAGCTCTGGGCATGGTATGCAGAGTCTCACTTTCTCTTGGTCAGACAACTGACCTTGGATTCCAAGATTGTTTACCAAATACAACTCAAATTTTGTGTCAGTGTTCTCCTGGCTTCTCCCAATATGGCACAGTCCCTGGGGACATCTGTTTATACTCATACAGAATGTGCATATACTCTGTACCACAACCACTACTTATACCACCTTATGTACCTCCCCCTAGTGTCACTATACATTCTAGTCTACACATGGTATCCAGAGGGCACTCTACCAAATGCAATCAGAACACATCCCATCTCTAGACCTCCAATGGTATTGACGTTGTGGGCAACCTCAGCCCCAGCCTTAGCCTCCCTACCTGTCTCTTTTTGTTGCTTCACCTTCAGCTACTTGGAATGTACACATATCTGACACCTTGGCACTCTTCCATCTGTGCTGAGAAGCTGCACCCTTCCCAATGCAATGTCAGCCTTCTCTGACTCTCAATAGGAATTCACAGGCCAGGCCGGGTGTGGTGGTTCACGCCAGTAATCCCACCACTTTTCGAGGCCGAGACAGGTGGATCACCTGAGGCCAGGAGTTCGAGACCAGCCTGACCAACATGGAGAAACCCCGTCGCTACAAAAATACAAAATTAGCTGGGCGTGAGGCATGCCTGTAATCCCGAGGCACTCGGGAGGCTGAGGCAGGACAACAGCTTGAACCTAGGAGGAGGTTGCTGTAGAGCCAAGATCTGCCATTGCACTCTAGCCTGGGCAACAAGAGTGAAATTCCATCTCAAAAATAATAATAATAATAAATAAATAAAAATTAAAATTAAAAAAGAAGCCCAAGTCTCCCAAACCAGCTCCAGCAATTCTCCCAGATGACCTCATTTGATCTTGAGCTAATCCAGCAGCCTGAGAAGCTCCCAGTTCCAGGTAAGAACAAAAGCCTTGTGATCCCACAGTTGGATGTATAAGCAGCAGTGCCTGCCTTCCTGTCATCTGACGCTGGCCATAGCTTCATCTTCATGTCCATCTCATGTTTACCCCCAGAACTTTTTCAGACTAATCAGACCTCCTCACCTCTCAGCATCCTTCCCCATGGCCACCATTCTCATGTCCTTGTGTAGCTTCACCACTCCCATCCAGGTATCCAGCGAAGAGAATCAGTTCTTGCCCTATTCTCCCTTATTACCTAATGGCATTACCAATAGGACCTCAAGATGCTCCTCCCAAATCTGCTCCACCATTCCATTTGGTGCACACACCCAACCTGTATCGGTGTATTTCCAATCTGAAACCTTCACCAATTCCAGACTTCTGTCCAGGTGCCCACCAATGAATCCACCTAAGGGTCTCTGGAACATCTCATATCACAGCACAAACCTAACTTAATTATTCCCACTGAAACTACTCTTACCATTAAACCTCTTCTCCACCCCACACTTTTAGAAAATCTGCTCATATCTACTTAAAAACACAGACTCCAGGCCGGGCGCGGTGGCTCCCAAGCACCTGTAATCCCAGCTTTGGGAGGCCGAGGCAGGCGGATCACCAGGTCACTGAGATCCGAGACCATCCTACATAACACGGTGAAACCTCATCTCTACTAAAATACAAAAAGAAAATTAGCCGGTGTGTGGTGTGGTGGGTGTCTGTAGTCCTAGCTACTCGGGAGGCTGAGGCAGGAGAATGGCCTGAACCCAGGAGGCGGAGCTTGCAGGGAGTCGAGATGCGCCACTGTACTCCAGCCTGGGCGACAGTGTGAGACCCCGCTCAAAACAAACAAAAAACCAAAAACCAGATCAGCTGTATAATCCTGCGTAGCCTTCCCCATTTCCATCCTTCCTGATATTCAGGAACAAACAAAACAAACAAAATACAAAGAATAGAGGCCCAGCTCCTCAGCCAACCACTTCAGGTCTGCCTTATACCTGCTGATGCGTTTCTGCTATAATCGAGATCTAAGGTTGCCTAAGCATTTCCAGCTCAAACTTAAATCCATGTATTTTCTCATGTTGATCACTATGCCTTCTAAACCTCCTGTCATTGGTTGCCAGAAATGAGATCCTCTCCATAGAACATATAATCTGGCCCAGGCGTGGTGGCTCATGCCTAAAATCCCAGCAGTTTGGGAGGCAGAGGTGGGCAGATCACCGAGATCGGGAGTGCCGAGACCAGCCTGACCAACATGGAGAAACCCTGTCTCTACAAAAACATACAAAATTAGCCAGGCGTGTGACTGCACATGCCTGTAATCCAGCTACTTGGGAGGCTCAGACAGGAAAATTGAATTCAGGAGGCGGAGGTTGTGGCTGAGCTGAGATCGTGCCATTGCACTCCAGCCTGGGCAACAAGGCTAAATTCCATCTCAAAATAAATAAATAAATAAAAATATATAGTCTGGACCAGGATCCTGACTGTGCTGACTGCTTTCCAGGAACCTCAAATGGAAGGGTAGGGAGAATAGCAAGTAAGGAGTCTCTAAGACATCATTGATTCTGAAGACCAAGCAGAGGTAGGAGTTGGAGCAGGGTGAGGACCTGAGACATTCCCTCCATTTACCTCCCTCATGGTATGTAAGTAACTCTGCAGTCAAGAACCCATGGAAAATCAAGGCCATGAGAATCCAGTCTGTGAGCTGTGGTCTTGCCAAAGGATCTTCCAAGTCCCCTGCCTAGCCTGGAGTCAGGTGTGCCTGAGTATCTACACCCGGGCTTTGGTTCTTATGATGCCTCTACCTGTTGTGTGCCCTGCAAATGCTCAACTTCCTCTGTGTTCTTTGTGTTGTTGCCATCTTGCAACATGGCAATAATAATGGTATTCACTCAATAGGGCTATTGTTTGTTCAAACTCATTCTTATGTGCTCCAGGACTAAGTATCAACTCTACTGTACAATACAATTAATGCCCTGTCATTTTCAGTAAATAAACTGGCAGATTTTAAAATATGTTTCTGCCTGGGCACAGTGGCTCAAGCCTGTAATCCCAACACTTTGGGAGGCCGAGGTGGGCAGATAACAAATAAGGTGCACCCTGTCCCATGGAGGCTGGGAGCCACCAAGCCTGGGTTCCCCAGCATCTTTGGGAGGCCGAGATAAGGATCACGGTGTCAGGAATGAGACCATCCTGGTTAACATGGTGAAACCCTCGCTTACTAAAAATACAAACTAGCCGGGCGCGGTGGCGGGCGCCTGTAGTCCCAGCTACTCGGGAGGCTGAGGCAGGAGAATGGCGTGAAACCGGGAGGCGGAGCTTGCAGTGAGCTGAGATCGGCCACTGCACTCCAGTCTGGCGACAGAGCGAGACTCCGTCTCAAAAAAAAAAAAAAAAGAAAAAGAAAGAAAGAAAGAAAGAAAATGTGGGTTTCTTTGGCAGTCTGCTGCCTGCTATATACCCTGGAAGGCAATCCTGCTGGGACAGCCCTTCACTGGATGGCAGTTGATCATCTCCTCCTGTGTTGATATGGCTAGGAAACTTAGGTGACCAAGGGCTGCTGCCCACCAGCCTGGCTGACCTTTTCTTTTCTCCATACGGACTGGACATGAGGAACTGCTGAGCCTGGAGTGGCAAACCTATATACTACCCAACACTGCAGTCTCCATCCAGTCCTGGGTCTTCATACTCTATAACCCTCCATTCCTGCAGGCACCAGACAGAACCACTTGGGACAGCAAAACTCCATGCTATAGAGGCTGCCCCGGCCTACAGGCCCATTTCTCCCTTCCCTCACCTCAGGGACCATCTGAAAGAAAACCTTAAGATTCTCCCTCCTAAATAGGAGCCCCAGGCCTTCCAGCTGCCCATGTGGACACGATACCTCCACTCTGGGACTTCTCAGGAAACGATGCCCAAAACCTACTCCCTGCACAGCCTCCCCCATCTCCATCCTTCCTGATATTCAGGAACAAACAAAAATACAAATAAAAATCCAGAATGGCTCTTCATTCCCTACTTTCTTTCATAGTCACATCTGATGCAACAGGAATTCCCTCCTGTTCAGTTTTTGAAATCCATCCAAGATCTGATCACTTCCCCGCTTCTACGGCCCAGTCCCAGTAGACTCTCCACTACTCTACTGAATTTATCTACTCACAGGTCTATTTTCACCCGCCTCACCCCCACTCCAGTCTGTTTTGCCTTGAGAGGCCTTTGGCAAACTGAGAGAAACAGATCGTGTCACTCTTCTGTCTCCATCCCTCCGCGGCCACTGTGGCGCCCTCAGGATGAAAGCGCAGCTCCTCGGGCCGTCGCTCCACGCGCGACTGGTCCCTTCCCAAGCTGCCTACTACAGACACCCGGAGGCCTCAAGTTCGGGACTCGCTGCGTGCGTCTCACATCTTTGCGAGCCGCACCCCGTGCCCTGCATTCCCACCCCATCACACTGCGTGTCAGAAACGGGACCCCGCCCACGAACGCCCCACAGTTCTGCACCCGGGGACCTGGGCAGGCGGCCCTCACAGGGCTTTAGGATTCGGGGGAGGCCGGGAGGACGCGGCGCTCACCTGAGCGGGGTCCCTTAGCTCGGCCGCCGCCATCCGAGCCTGTGGGTAGAGCGGGAGGGGAGACAACAACCGAGGAGAGGGCCCGGGTCACCCTGGGTGCCGCCACCGAGCCTCAGACCCGCCTCTGAGCGGTGAGAACAGAACGCGGAGCCACCGCGCCTTCCGGTGCTGGTTGCCCCAGCGCACAATCAGCTTCTACCAGGCTGAGTTCTCCTGAGAGCAGCGAAAGTGACCGCCCAGGGGAGACGCCGGAAGTCCCGCCCAGTGCGCGTCGCACGTTCGGGCAGGCCTCTTTTCATTGGCCAAGCATTGCCGCTGCGGGCGCGGAGGCTTCTGGGCAGTGTAGTTCCCTTGGCGCCAAACTTAGAGGAAGTGGGCGTAACTTCGGAGATGGAGATTGGAGATGATAGATGATGACGGAGATGGAGGTGAAGATGATGGAGATGGAGATGGAGATGATGGTGGAGATGATGGAGATGGAGATGATGATGGAGATGGAGATGATGGAGATGGAGATAATGATGAAGATGGGGATGATGGAGAAGATGGAGATGGAGTAGGAAATGGAGAATGGAGGAGAAATGAGTGTCAAGAACTCTCGGACTCATCTGGAGCCTGTTGTAATTGGAGATGGGACTGGATTTCAGTTTCCTACCGCTGATACTCCAATCCTTCCTTCTTTTGAAGGACTCAAAGAGGATCTTCAGAGCCACAATAAAGAGGTTTCTCTGGGCAGAGCCACGTATACCTTCCTAAATTTCCTTTGGCAAGGGGACACCCAATATTAAAGTTAACGGTGGCCAAGCAATGCCTGATGTATGATAATAAGAAAAGGCTCTGAATTCTGGATGTAGGTGATGAGAGAGTAGGGGAGCCCAAGGATTTACCTTCCTCCTTCACCCCATGCTCATTTGTGTTCTTTCCTTCCTCAAGGACGCAACGTTGATGTACAGTCACAACAATAGGAGGCAAACCCATAAGCCAACTCCCCCTCAATTTCTCTCCTTCATCCATTTCTGCTCCATATTCCTTTCACCGTTACTACAGGACTGAATGAAGGGGGATGAACACAGAAATGAAAACAAAGGCAAAATAAATCTGTTTTAAAGAAGGGGTCAGAGGGCTTCTTTCTTCTAGTTAGCAAAGGCCCTGAGCTTCCACAGCCCTTCATATTTATTGGGTAGAAAGAGCAGGGAGGAGGAGCTAATGATTGGTCAGCTGCTTGATTGATCACAGGTTCACATTATTGCAAACAGGCTTCAGATGTGCCTAATCACAAGAAACATTTGTGCCTGGGGCGTGACTGCCCTCAGCATTCCTTCTTGGTGGCAGACGCAGTTTGTCAGTTTGCCAACAACCTACTTTAATGAGAACAGTTTGCTGTTTACTCCAGTGGTATACTGAGTTGATCACAACACTCATTCTTTCGGCCTCCAACATCTCCCCCTTTCTGTCTTTGAATTAATTGAATAAGATGTGTCCCTATGTTATGGAGATTGATGCCAGTGTGACTCCAGTCAGTCCTCATGCCGTCTTTGCATTCAGATTCAGCTGGCTCATGGCTTCCACTGGGAGAACCAGGCCCATGGTTGGAATCCCAGTCTCCCCTTCCATGGTCGCACACACCTTGAGGGTATCCACATGGTTTGTCCATCTCCTGTAAAAACACAAGCATACCCTCATCTCCACATTAGTAAATCTACCGAAAACTTTCCACTGATAACGAGAGACAGCCTCTTTCTGATTAACAGAAGGCATAGCGATAGCAAATCAAGGATTAACAGAAGGCACAGAGAAAACAAATTGAGGTTTATCCTTCTTGTGCAATAGTATAGCAAAAAAAAAAAAAAATCCCCAAGGTCTACCACCATGAGAGGCCAGTCTCTTAGAATGGCTGCCAGGGATGGCAGACCCTGCTATAATGCACCCATTGGCTTAATCTGTGCATTAATAGCTCTCAAATCATGTAGCAATCGCCATTTACCTGTTTTGGAATCACAAATGCTGGTGAATTTCAAGGGCTGACTCTTCCATATGTCCTGCTTCCAATTGCTCTTCTACTAACTGATGGAGTTGAATCAGTTTCTCCTGTGATAGAGGATATTGAACCATCCATACAAGTTTGTCAGTCAGCCACTCTAATGGCAAAGCAGTGGGTAGAGGAGAAATACCAATGACCCCCATCAGAAATCCTGACGACCTAGCCCTTTTTCATCTTTCTCTAGTTATTGATATAGGATCAGGGTTTCCTTGTATGGACTTTCCTAAGCCTTTTCCGCTCTGATACTCCAATTTTTTTTTAACATTTTAAATCCTGGTTTGTTAATAGTTTCATTCGTAAGTCTCATATCCCATGCTGTAAGTAAATCTCAACCCCATAGATTAACATATTTGCAACATAAGGTTGAAAAGTACAACTGGTACTGAGACAGGGTAAAATCTCAGCACTGTTTTGAACACTTTGAGCTGTTCCTACTCCTTCTAGGGATGTAGAAGTTAATTGTAGAGGCCAGGACGGGGGTCAATTGTTCTTAGATATTAATGACACATTAGCTCCCATAGCCATAAGCCGATAAAACTTCTTTCCTTTAATTTACACTGTACATGTGGGTCTATTAGATGCTATGGGTTCTGATAGATAAATCTGCCATGTAGTTGTACTTCCAAGTCCTTGATTCCCTCATTTCTCCCTTCGTGGAGAAGGGTTCAGTTTCCAGGTAATAAGCAACAGTTGAGCAATATAGTCTCCTGGTTCAAAAACCCAAAGATCTTGCAACATCACCACTACTAGAATTTCTCCTCATTATCTGAATCAGCAACTCCTGGGACTACAGTAATACCCTGTAAGTTAAGATGAGTTTTGCCCAAAATTAATCCCATATATCCTGTTGGCAAAGGTCCACAAATACCAGTGGGAATCTTGGTGGGTTTGTCTCCTCCAACTAATGTAACCTGTTCTTTGACTGGGAGGTCTAATCCTGCACTTCCACGTGTTCCCGCTGCTGGAGGGAGTAGTACAGGCAAGTTTTCATCCTCCCTCCTGTTCACCAACCTTGATAGGAGTTGTGGGTGGGGCAAAAGACTCTCAAATTTTGAAATTCAGAACACAACAAATTCCAAACAAAACAGAAAAAACAAATCCTGCCCCATGTTACCTTGATTCAAAAATTTCCCATTCTCTGTACCTCTTTAGGACGCTGACCAGTACCTCTTTAGGACACTGGCCTTACATCCACTGCCGGCAGACTCATCCTGGAGTTTCTCATTTGTCTGATCAGTTTCAGTTCTTCAGCTCCAGTAGACTTTCATTGTTTATGGTCCCTGTAGGTCCCTGTTAGTCCCTGTGAGTCCCTGCAAGTCCCTTCAAGTCCCTTTTCTTCCCTATTCATGTCTATTCATCCCTACTTGTCCCTGCAGGTCTCTTCAGGTCCCTGTTTGGGCGCCACTTGCGATGGTTACTATGGGACTGAATGAAGGGGGATGAACAAGAAATGAAAACATAAGACAAAATAATCTGTTTTAAATAAGGGGTCAGGGGCTCCTTGCTTCTTGTGAGTAATGGCCCTGAGTTTCCACAGCCATTCATATTTATTGGGTAGAAAGAGCAGGGAGGAGAAGCTAACGATTGGTCATCTGCTTGATTGATCACAGGTTCAGATTATTGTGAACAGGCTTCAGATGTGCCTAATCACAAGAAACACTTGTGCCTGGGACGTGACTGCCCTCACCATTCCTTCAGGGTGGTAGACGCAGTTTGTCAGTTTGCAAACCACCTGCTTTCATGAGAACAGTTTGCTGTTTACTCATATAGCCTCCAGTGGTATACTGAGTTAATCACAACCCTCATTCTTTCAGCCTCCAACATGTTCCCACTACTCTTCCATTTCCAAATATAAAGCCAATTCCTCACAGGTGGTTAAAATGCTAGACTGTTGTTTACAACACACAACTATTGATTTTAAAAGTCAAACCTTTATTATGTGTTGTCCCACTACATCCATTCCCATTGAATCTAGTCCTCGTGTCAATCTAATTTCCCTACTTCTTTTCCTGCCCCTTCCATCTGTGGGCTGAATAATCAATTTCGACACAGTCTTGGAGTGACTCATGAGGACAAGAGAAAATGAAGCCTTCCCTCCTTCTTGGAGCTTTCTAGAACTGGGTGTTCAGTACTAATTGACTCTGAAAAGGATGGGAGTCAATATTGGGATTGAGAACATAGTAGAATTGAGAGAGACACAAGTTCTTTACCCCTTCCATGGCAACTATGGCATTAATTATTTCAGTTAGACCATTATGTGGCATGTGGAACGGAGGGGAGGAGGAGAGTGAGGAGAGCTGAATCCATGACAGGAGTGGGACAATGTGTAGATAATCTCCTCCTTCTGAAACAAAGCACAGGAATAAATGTTTCACTTCCTTCAGAACATCTATTAGAAGAACAGATTCTGGATTATTCATCTAATAGATTATGAGTCAGTCATGAAAATTAGCTGGCCATCATGACATGAACCTTTGTGAATGAACCTAACAAACATATTACAGAATCTAGTCACACAGTACAAAACATACAGAAAATTCAGAATCTGGCAATAAGAAAGAGTATGTCATTTAGGAAAACATATGTATGTGGTAAAACTACAAAGACATTAATAGAATGATTATCAAAATGATTAACAAAAATGTCACGTAAATGTTAGCTTGATGGGGTGAGTCAGGCATGTGAGGCAATGTGAAAAGAGAAGATGCCTAGGAAAGTATGCTTTTTATCCAGGCATGGTGGCAGTCATCTGTAATCCAGCTACTTGGGAGGCTTAGGAAGGAGCATCGCTTGAACCTGGGAGGCAGAGGTTGCAGTGAGCTGAGATCACACCACTGCACTCTAGCCTGGGTGACAGAGTGAGACTCTGTCTCAAAAAATAAATAAAAAAAGGAAAGAAACGATGCTTTATCACCACTGGTTCTGTTTTACAGATGTGGTTTTAATTTAAAAAAACTATATGTCATATGAACATTATAGTGAATTGTGTGATGGTTTTGAAATAAACAGTATATGTAGACAATTTAGTATTATTACAGGAAGAGACAACCAACTAAAACACAGTCGTGTGTAGAATTGCAAATAACATGATTAGTGAGGACACAGTAGACTATTTAATCATTTGGTTTAGGTAAAATCATTATCTACATAAAAAATTCACTTATAGCTCTTTGAACGCACAAAACAAATCCCATGAAGCTATTTTGTTGTTGTTGTTGTTGTTAAAAGCAA